CTCGGCAGGGCAGGCTCTGGGAGTAGGCTCGGGCAATGTCTCTCTCTCTCTCTCTGTCGCTTGAGGAGGATCGAGGAAGAGGAGGATGAGGAGGAGGATCGAGGAGGATCGTCGAGGAGGGCCGATGATCATGCTGATGATGATGACGAGGATGAGGATGATGATGATGCTGCTGCTGATGATGAGGATATGATGCTGATTATGATAACGATTCTGATGATGATGTTGTTGGTAATGGTGAGGCCGGGGAGGGGGAGGACGGGAAGAAGGATAAGCCTCTCTCTCAGATGTATATATATGTATATCTGTCTCTCTGTCTCTCTCTCCCTCTCTCTATCTCACTCTATCTCTGTCTCTACCTCCACTGCCATTGCTGCCTCCTCCTCCTCCTCGTCGCCATTGCCGTCGCCCTACCCCTCCTCCTGATTTCCTTGTCCTCCTACTCTCCACTAGCCTGTTCTCCCATATTCCCACTCTCCCGCTCTCCCAGACCGTCTCCCTCTCGCTCTTTCTCTCTTTCACTCCCCCTCTCTCTGTTTATTGTATATTGTGTTTCACATATACGTGTGTGTATTCATGTATGTATGTATTTATGCATGAATGAATGTATGTATGCATGTATATTTGTATGTACGTACGTAAATAAACAATTAGAACTTACCCTCTCTGTCACACCCCGTATTCCCTCCCTCTCTTCCTCCTCTCCCCTCCCCAGGAACTCCACCAACAAGTGGCGGCTCCCCATCTAAACGGACACCCCCTGCAAACCCATCACCATGCGAAGGCGGTAGGAAACTGCACCAACGTGGCGCCGACAGTGCACGACGCCGTCTTGACTCTGGTCGGCACCGCAGATGCCAAGACACGACGTGCTGTCGCCAGACTCCAGGTATAGGACGCCTCCTGGAGGTCACCCATGTGCGAGCCCGATCGGTTAGGTCCCTCGTGGGTAGCATGTGCACCACTGGTACCGGCATCCAAGCACCCAGCATGGGAGTGCGAAACCTTTACAACAACTCGACCTTCGCTACCATACGGCCCAGAAGGGCGATCCTGGATCCCACAGTGGGCCCTCTGCGCTCTCGTTATCCCCGGGCATGTTCTCGAGCTGGACGGTATCACTCAAGGGGAAGCCCGGCTTGGGCTGCGAAGACAAGTGCGGAGAGACAACAGTCTCAACGCCAAAGCCGAAGAGCTGCGCGACCACGCGCGAACCTTTCAACGGAGGGGGGGCCGTAGGCAGGGTATGGCAAGGCACCGCGCAATTCGAGTGGAGTTGGCCCTCTTTTGGCACGGTGCATGATGGTTGGGGTATCCGCCTGTCGTGGGTACACTGGCTGGTCGGCCTCTTCCCACACATGCTCTGAGCCTCGCAGAGCAGGTCCTTCCTCCGGCGTGTACCCACCGTCAGACACGACCTGGGTGCCGTCGCCGCGGGCAAGCAGGGCCTGGACTGTTATGTCGATTTTTTTTGGTTGAAAAAAACAACTATTTTGTCGACACTTGGCTGCAACGAACCAGAGGCAAGGCCAAATGCACGGCTTGGCGGCTCGGTCTGCTTTGCAACTACCTGTGTGAAGAAGATCACAAACAGCAGAGAAATTTCCGCGCGGGCATCTCGGTCGACCCATCGCCGCCGTATGATAGTGTAATCAGAAAGAAGAAACCCAAGAACACACGGTCTGGCAATGCCCGTGCTGGGAGTCGGAAGGGACCACCGTGAAGACTATGATCGCGGGCGAACAATGGAGTGACCTCCAGCCGCACACCAGGCGCTGCGGACTGCTGGAGGAAGACTTTCGGCTGCTGGACCTCTTGGCCACACTTGCACACGACGAGCTCCCAAAACCTAACCCGCGGCCCCCTCACGAGCCCTGACGACAATTCGAGAAATCCACTGACGAAGCGGGGACCAGGTGGGTATACGCCGCCACAGAAGGTGCCTGCACGCACCAAGCCCACCCGATCCACGCCAGGGTGGTTTTCGGAGTCTAATGCGGGCTGGATCACCGGTCTAACCAATCAGCTCGAGTGCAGCTTGTCTCAATCCGTACAAATGGCGGAAACCATCGCCATGCCCTACCTTTAGGCTACTGCTGAGCGGCCTGTCCAAACTTTGTCGCGACAGCCAAGCCGTTGTCGACGGATGCGAGGACCTTCTCAAATTGAAGCGACCGCAAGCCACGGGGGCCCAGACTGACCTTTGGCAACAGATTCACCGCATGCTCCAGGCCAAACCAGACATGCTCAAGGTCCCAAAAGTCGAAAGCCATTTCGGCGAGCAAGGCATTAACGAAGGCCGCATCGCACTTATCGCTGAGGCTTTCAGCCGTCATGTCGATGAACTCGCCACCGCCTGAGCACGCCTGCACGCTTTGGAGCCAGGCCTCGTTGATGCAGCTAAACGGCGACACAAGCTCGCGGCGGTGTTGCACAGCACCGCCGTCGCGATCTACGATCGGCGCCACCATGCCCTTCCCCTGCCAGACGGACGGGCGGGTTACTTCAGGGCCGAACTCAGCAAGATGAAACCCAACCCGCTCACGATAGGGCAAGGATGATACGAAACACCAGGCTCACCAAGCTACCCCGTTCAGCCGCATGGCCCACCAAAGCCTGACTTTTCCGACGGACTCGACGACTCTTTGGGGGCCCCACTCCACGAATTCGAAAGCGGAAACCAAGGCCCACTCAGGCTCGGAGTATCCTCGAGCGACGACGACGGGAACGCTGCTGCCCCACCAGGAACTCACACTAGTCACGCGGACAACGCAAGCACAGCCTGGCGTCAGCCTAGACTCTCAGACAGTCTGGCTCACACGGCGGACGTCCACCAGAACCTGGCTCCTACAACCAGTCTATCTGACCACCACGTCGCTTCCCTGTCCCACCTGGGTACGGAGAACAGAGCCCGAGGCCGCATAGACCTCGGCCGAACGGTGACGCAAGGAACGGACCGACGGCTATCTCTCACGCAGCACTTCGAGGCTGCAAGGCAACCGCCAGAGCGTGAACGCGACGCGGCCCTCATCGTTAGCATCGCGGCGCTGCAGCAGCGAGCCAACTACCTTGCTCAAGCCGTTCAGTCCATCCATCCAGGAACAATCTACTCCGCTGCTAAACAAGTTTCACCGAGCGCAGGCCGCCTGGAATGGCCCTCGACAGGCCTTCTGCACTGCCGCTTCTCCTGCAGCTTCGCTCCAGGGTAATCTCCAGGCGTACCTGGTGGTCACCGCCCAGCACGTCCGTGCTAGCGTCCTCTCTCCCGAAGGTGCTGCGAAAGCAATCCGCGATTTCTCCGTAGCTGTCACACCGGGTCGCCGCGGGGGATGCCCCAAGGCGGCACCACGGTTCGCCGAGGCACCGAGGCGCGCAAGCCAGAACGCGCTAGCAGCCGGCGCCTGCTTTTTTCGGGTTTCCAGACGGGCCCCCGAGTGGCCTGTTCACCACAAGCCCGCCGTGCTTTCCAGCCGCCGACCGCGCCTCCCCCTCCCCCTCCTCCTCCCGGACGGGAAGGGGGAGGGGATGGGGAAGGGAGGGGGAGGGGGAGGGGGAGGGGGAGGAGGGGGAGGAGGAGGAGGAGGAGGAAGAGGAGGAGGAGGAGGAGGAGGAGGAGGAGGAGGGGAGGAAGGAGGAGGAGGAGGAGGAGGAGGAGGAGGAGGAGGGTCCTGTCCGACCGCGCCAGGGGGGGGAGGGCGGCACCGCAGCCCTGCTCTGTCCGCGGCCCCCCCCCCCCCCGCCATGGGAGGCAGGCCCGCGCAGGCCTGAGCCGCTCCTGGGCAGGAGGAGGAGGAGGAGGAGGAGGAGGAGGAGGAGGAGGAGGAGGAGGAGGGCTTCACCTTGCTCCTGTCTCTCTCCCTCTCTACCTTTTTTTCACGTCTCTCTCTCTCTCTCTCTCTCTTCTCTCCCTCTCCCTCTCCCTCTCCCTCCCTCCCTCTTTCTCTCTTTTGTTTTGTTTTGTTTTTGTTTCTCTCTCTCTCTCTCTCGCTCTCTCTCTCTCTCTCTCTCTCTCTCTCTCTCTCTCTTTCTATATAAATATATACTAGAACCATCGCGCGCGCTTCGCGCGCGCTCAAGTTCTAGCTGGGCTTGATCGGCTAACTCATGTCATCTCATTTTGGTCGCTTCTTGCGTCCAGGGACTCCCTTGGAGGCCCTGTGCAAGCCTCGGAATCGCATGGAAGGGGAAACGCGGAAACGCAGAAATCATTAATCTCCTTTCGGTATTCAGCGATTTGGGGCCCTCAAAGGCTTCCTGGGTTCTTTTTTGGGAGGTGAGGGGGGTCTGAATTGTAGTCTGTTGTGCAGCAAGAATAGAGCGGGGGCCAAAGTTGAACAAAAAACAGGAATAGTGGGATTTCCAATTTTTTCCAATTCTTCGGCGCTGTTTTTTGTTTGTGCCTCGCGGGTTTTGTTAGCCGGGCCCCTCAGGGGTGTGGGATCTTCTGGACTCCCTGGGGGTTCTGGAGGCCTCCTGGAGGCCTGGAGAGCCGTCGGAAGGGTGTCGCGGGCTGCGCGGGAGCGTGTTGGGCCGTTCTTTACGTTCTGGGGGCTCCTTGGGGTCGTCGTGGGCTGTCTTTCGGCGACTTGGGGTCTCCCCCCTGGAAGCCGGGAGGCGGGGTACCGGGAGAAGGCGAAAAACATTAGAAAAACCATGGGACATCAACGATTTTACCCTCTTTGGGCTCTCTCGGGACGGCTCTCGCAGCTCTCTTGGGCTGTTCTTGGAGCCTCGTCAGGGTCTTTCTGGGGTCTCTCAAGGAACGGGGGGGTGTTGGGGGCCTCTGGGTGGTCCCGGAGGCCTTTCGGAAGTCTCTGGAAGCCTCCTGCTCCGCTCTTGGCTTCATCTTGGGCCTGTTCTGGGGTGGTCTGGGGCTGTCCCGGGCGCCTCTTCGGCACTCTTGGAGCCTTCTTGGCCCGTCTTGGGGCCGTCCTGAGGGTCTCTTGGGGCGACAGGTTGTTTCTGTGTCCAACTGGGGGTTTCTGTGTCCCCGTTGGGTG